CAAACAGCTGATCAGGATTGAAAGTAAAAGGAAAGAACACTAAAGTTACACCAGGGTGTTTGGGTTTTTTGTGCAAAAGCCCCAGCTGCAGGGTGTCTTTCTTGCCAAGTCACTTTCTGAGTGCTGTGTGTAGGGATAGTTCAAGATGAGCAGAGCTCAGCCCCAGGAGCTCCTCCTGCTCAGCTGCTGCAGTCCAGGCTGCAGAAGTATTACCTGAAGCATTTGCTTCAGACTGAATTGGGAAAATTTTTGGAGTCATATTTAGCAATAATATGGAAAGAAACACCATGTCTAATCAGATTCAAGTGTTTAAATTCAAAACCAACAGTATAAAGCATCATTTACAATGTTCAATATTTTGTACAAAATGAGTATCTCCAAAGATCTATGGTTATCTTTTGCCATACTTCTTCTTTAAAATTCTTATTTTGGAGCTGGTATTGCACCATACAAGTACTTCTCTATTTACACTCCCTTTCTGCATGCAAAACTGTGACTTTCTGTCTGGTTTTGAGACAACAGCATTTGGTGCCTTTGTTCATCATCCACAATAGGACCAGGCCCATCTATTACTATGCATAAACATATATGTTAATACATACGCCAAGGAAGCAGAGAATGGTTTGGGCTGCAAGGGACCCTAAAGAACCCTTTGAGGGATGGGGCATCCACACTCTCAGAGGGCTGAACATGAGCCATCAGTCTTCCCAGGTGGCCAAGGAAGCCCACGGCACCTGGCCTGTATCAGCAATGGTGTGGCCAGCAGGAAAAGGGCAGGGATTGTTCCCCTGTGCTCAGCACTGGTGAGGCCACAGCTGGAATCCTGTGTTCATTCTGGGACCCTCACTGCAAGAAAGACATTGAGGTGCTGGAGCAAGTCCAGAGAAGGGCAACAAGGGTGGTGAAGGGTCTGAAGCACAAATCCTGCGAGGAGCTGCTGTGGGAGCTGAGGGTTTTTATCCTGAAGAAAAGGAGGCTCAGGGCAGATGTGTTTACTTTTGACAGTATTTGAAAGGACTTTGTGGCAAGGTAGGGGTTTGGCCCTTTTCCAGGCAGTTAGTGGTGGGACAAGGGGAAATGGCCTTCAGTTGTGTATGGGGAGGTTCAGTGTGTATATTAGGAAATATTTCCTCATTCAAAGATTGGTCAGGTTTGGAATGGGCTTCCCAGGGAAGTGGTAGGGTCACCATCCCTGAAAATATTCAAAACACAAGGTCCTTTGCAATATGGTTTAGTGGGTGTGGTGACATTTTGTTCAAGGCTGGATTTGTTGATCTTGGTAGCCTTTTCCAACATCAATGATTCTCTGATTGTAAGGGGAAGAGGAAAAGAAAAAAAAATATTATGTGAATGTCACCACTGTCACTTGGAATCTTCCATCAATACTCTTAGTAAGACTAAGGTTGTGTATTCAATATTATTCACAGAAAAGAAAAAATCTAAACTCAAACAGGCAGAAACATCCTATAGCCTGTGTGTCACAAAATACTTAGATACATTTTTATTACTCTGATTCCACTTTCTTCTGGAGGAGAAGGACAAACAGGAATTGAACTTCCCAGGTTTCATCAAATCACTCGCACTTCATTGGACTTTTGAACGAGAAAAAGAAAATGTCTGATCATAGGAACATCTATTCTAAGTCAGGATAGTTAACGAGTTTTGATCCCTGGTGGCATGGTACCACTTCCCAGTTCTGTGGAATTGGGTGGTGCACAAGACTTTTGAGTGAGCTATAAATGGAGGCTGGTAAGATGCCCTTCCCAAACAGCAGCTGTGCACTGGAGGAACTGCCCGCAGCTCTCCCCAGCCCTGCAGCTGGCATCCAGGTAAGAGGCACACTTTGCACAGGAGAGCTGGGAGGTTTCCTGGGCAGCTGCTGTGGAATGCAGGGGAAGGGAAGGAGGCTTCAGCGTTGGGCTGAGAGCTGCAGCACAGACGGGAGGCTCTGCTGTGTGCATGTGCAGAGACTGAGCCCATCCTTCAGGGCACGAGGAGATGGCTGCTGCAGGAGGAACAAACCTTACCAAGGGACAGGGTGGAGGGGGCCAGTGACACACAGTTGTGGGGGGTGAATGTGAAAGTATTTTACAACTTATTTTTGGACATATGTCTAACCCAACACACATAAATATTTAAAAGTGGGCAGTTGTGGGCACATATTTAATTTTATCCCTCCAAATACTAACTACTATGTAAAGTATTCACTCTTTTCCAGCTGTTGTAACATTTATTCATTGTTCAAAATATTTTACATTTTCTTTATTTTCCTATGCACTCTATAATTTTGTGTAAAGTCTTCTTACAACACTGTTTTCTGTCTTGCTTTTTTGCAGGCTGTCATCCAAGGCCAACAGAAAGAACTTTCATCCTCAGAAGTCTTGAGATGGGAAAAATCATCATTTATGAGCATGCCAACTTCAGGGGTGTGTCCAGAGAAATCACTTCTGACATTTCCAATCTGGGACGTTTGGATTTTAATGATATTATCTCCTCAGTGAAAGTAATTGGCCAGCCTTGGGTGGCTTATGAGCACATAAATTATTCAGGCCGGCTAATGGTACTTGAGGAGGGGGAGCATAACTATGTTGGCAGAAGCATGAATGATACAATCAGCTCTCTGCAGATGATCACTGAAGATCTGCACAATCCCCAGATCACTCTCTATGAACATCCCAACTACCAAGGGAAGAGCAGAGTAATAAGAGAAGCAACCAACCTGGCTGCGGGATTCGACAATGACATCATGTCTTCTCACAAAGTCCAGAGAGGTGCCTGGCTGTTGTGTGAGCACAGTGATGGAAGTGGAATTCAATACATTGCACGAGAAAAAGATAATCTTCCACATTACTCAGCAATCTACCTCAATGACAAGCTTTCCTTCCTGCGTCCCCTTCGCCCGGGCCGCTCTTATTAGAATGCAAATCCTCCAAAGCTGAGGAAGATGCAGCACCAGCAAGAAATTTGAGATCTAGATTTCTCCTTCTGCTTGTGTAGCCTTTTTATCATCGGAGCTCTCTGCTGTGCTGCACTGCAGATCTGTACTTCTCTATCCTGCCTTGCACACTTCCCCCACCCCATAAATAAAAGGATTATCATGCTTAATCATATGAAAGGGTGTCCAAGCTAAAAAACATGCCAGGGATGTGTAACCAAATTCACCCGCAGGTGGCATTCCAGAGACCTGTGCTATGGAATGGTGAAACATTGCATGTTGTCTCTGTTGCTAAAACAAACAGAAAATGAAAGTGTAGGACCAGCATTGCCTTGCTTTAATTTGTTTTACAAAGGTACCATGTCTTGTGCCATTGTCTGTAATCCATTTTGTGTTGGTGCTATTAAAGAATCCTTTGCAATCAGCAGTGGGTCTGTTTCATGCTTCTTTATAATAGATAAGTATTTCTCTTTCATGGTGAGATGTCTGTGTATCCGGGGAATGGCCCATGGAGTCACTTGAACATTTCCCCTAGATGTCTCCTGGAGAATTGTCTTCTTCCAGTTTAATTGGTCAGTAACAGTGGGCTCAGGCTGGACTTAGCCAGTGCTAAAATCTTGGTGGGCATGTCAATAATTGCTGTGATCCTGGCCAACCTCTCCCATGCAGTGTTCTTAAATAGCACACTTCTGGTTGTACTGTGTACAATCAACCATACTGAAGAATCATGCTGGTGATGCAGGCTTCCACTGCCCAAATCACACAATCAAACAGTAAGTTTTCCTAACACTGAACTGACAGATTGGATCATGCCAGTGGAAACAACTGTCCTGTTGTAGGCACTGTGGTACCCTGATAAGGGAGGAGGGACGACAAGGTATTCCATGGTCTGTTCTGACAGGTGCAAGTTCACCTGGAAGTGCAGAGCCCCAGCCCTCCTCCCCCCCTGCCCAGTGACAGCTGCACGCCCTGGGCTGTGCATTGTGGCAGCTGTGCCGTGGCAGCTCTGCACTGCAGTGTTGCTGTCCCTCTGTGCTGGCCTGCAGTGTGCCCCGTTGCCCTGCACTGCTCTCTGCCCAGAGAAGCCGTGGCTGAGCCAAACCTCCAAGTGTTCAGGGCCAGGTCTGACACAGCTTTGAGCAACCTGGCCCGGTGGGAAATCTCCCTGCTTAAGGCACGGTGTTCAACTAGATGGAGTTTTGAAACCTCTCCCAGCCAAAATCATTCCGTGATTTTGTGATTCTAGGATGAGCAAATTCAGCAATACAGTGAGCCTTGCCGTGGTTTCAGGTCCCAGTCTCTTACTTTCATGTTCCTCTTTTTACATCCTACAATACCTCTTTTTACAGTAACAGTTTTAAATTTTGAATATCAGCACAATGAATTTATATGGCTCCAAGCATCAGTAAAACCCTTGCTTTCCAAGGCTGACTGAAGAGGAAATCTACCCTGTCCTACTGTACAGGGCTGTGTAGACAGAAGTCTCTACTAAAGCTTTAGCATTTTTACAGCTAAGGCTGGATGGTTTATGGTTGTGGCATGACAGGGTAGAAGAATAGCACCTTTCCAGCTGCTTCTCTGGCATGTAGCGGATAACACCAGAATGTTGTGAAGGACAGGGAAAGAACACCACATATATGGAAGGAATTCAAGATCATGGAGTGCTTTCATACAATGGAAAGAAAATAAAGATGTAAGAACATCCTTACTGATGTTCTTTCCTTGTTTCTGACACTATGACCTGAAGATTTTGCAATGCCTCACTTTAAGGTGTAACATTTGTGCACTCAGGTATCTTGTCTTTTCTTGGTAGTAGAAACTTTTGTAATGATTGAGAGCCTGTAGAGGAATTGGGAGAGAAGTCTGATGTTGGAAAATGGTATCTATAATGGTCCAAGAAAAAAATCAAAATTATTGTACACATGACTTTATGATGATATTTTTTCACTGAAATAGAACAAAGGATGTAATCAGTCAGAGAATGACAAAGGCCTTTAAATCTTCCTTAGAATTACTGACAGAAATATTTAGTGTAGAAGGGACCTCCCTAGACCAAAGCCTTCTTCACAGCAGAGCTACTGCCAAAGGAAAACAGGTTACTCATGGCCATCCTCAAGATATTTCTGAAGAACTGCAAGGGTGGAGATTCCCCAGGCTCTCTGGCCCTTCTGCCAGAGCTGAAAACCCCTTAGGATCATATTTTTTTCCTTACTTGCAGTCACAGCTTCCCTCTTTCCAGATGAGACTCTTTCTTGTCCTTTTGCTGTGCACCTCCCTTAGCCTTGTCTCTTCAATGGCTGAGAAACATTTTCTTGATGAGGTCAGCCAATTTTAAATCACACCACTAGAGAATCACAGAATGACTAGACTGGAAGAGATCTTAAAGCTCATTGAGTCCAACCCATGCCCTAACATGCCCTCAACTAAACCATGGCACTGAGTGTTACATCCAATCTGTATTTAAACACATCCAGAGATGGTGACTCCACCACATCCCCAAGCAGACCATTCCAGTACTGTATCACTCTTTCTGTAAAAGCTTTCTCCTAACACCCAACTTAAATTTCCCTTGGTGCAGCTTGAGAATATGTCCTCTTGTTCTGACAGTTGCTGTCTGGAAAAAAACCAAAAAACAACCCTCACTGGAATACAACCACCTTTCAGGCAGTTGTAGAAAGTGATAAGGTCACCTCTGAGTCTCCTTTTCTCCAAGCTAAACAACCCCAGCTCCCCAGGTTGTTCCTCATAAAGCTTGTGTTCCAATGTTGTGTAGTCTGCATACTCAGAGGTTTTC